ACTGATTCTTTTGTCAGTATCCAAGGAGCGCTGGGTTTTGGTAGAGCAAGAATGCTTCTTCTACCCTCCCCAAGGAGCATGCCGAGAATAAGAGTCCCTTCGAGCAAGCCTAGCTCCCGTGGTGACACATAAGTCATTCTCTTTCTCAATGCTTATTTCAACAATCTGAGGAATTTCTGTGACACAGTTTTGGTTCCGCCTTGCTGAATTCTTTGAAGGACTTAAACCTAATTGCAAAGCAATGTTTTCTCTCAAAGGGCTGCTGGGTTGTTGTTGAGCCAAATCAGTTATCTGGATAGCTTTCTCTTTAGCAGATGAGCAACTACTGGAGTTCACAACTACATTTTCATTTTGGCTTCCACCCTCGTGACTGAAGAGATTCTGGCACCTGTATTTGAAATTGTTCCACATCTTTCCCACTTTATCCATGGATTACGTTATCTAAATTCAAGAGGAGAAGAAATATTGAAATAAAAATAGTTAAAAAAATGAGGATACATCTTCAGTTAACAATTAAGTTACAGACACAAGATGACTGTTAATTGAACATACTACATTTGAAAGAGTGCCCTAGTGTTTGTATGGTTATGTGGAAGTGACATGCATCACAGTATTTTGATATTTAGAAAAATCACCATGAAGAAAATATTTGGGAAATTACAAACATTTTATTTACAAGCGGCCCTCCCATTTTTCTGTAGGCACGCAGGTAGGTCTGTATAGTTGTATTTGATGGACAGGAAATATGCAGTCTAAAATTCTTCATTTTAGGAAGAATTTCTAAGTCATATGTAAGGTACGACTCCCTGATAAGCTTGCAATAAGCAGCAGTAAAACAAATCCTGAAAAAGAACTATTGAAGTCACTCCCAACTATGACAGCAGTTAGTGAAATCCAACAAGTGGACTGCAAACGTCCAGATACACCAGCTAAAAGCACAAGCTCCAGCCACAGGTCTGATAAATTCCAAGCTATAACCAAGAAGATTAAAAAAATTAGCACGAAAATAGAAATCTAGGGGAACAAAACATTCAACATTCTTAGATGAGGCAATTACCAAAAGACAAGGAAAGGCAGTAAGGTATCAGCAGAATTTTACAATTATAAAGTCTCTGATATATTAATAAAAGTTATACATATGAAACATCTAAAAAACCGCAAAACAACTGTCCAGCTTTATTACTTAAGATATAAAAGAATGAAAGAGCCCAAGGAGCTTTTCTATCTTTAGTAAGAGCACTTAAAAAGAAAGCAGTTCCGCAGCAGAAACATGATGACAGTGAATCATGAAGATACAGTAAAAAGATAAAACCATTAGCAGTGTGTATTCTGCAACTACTTCTTTAGAAACTGAGTTTGATAATTGGAACAAGACTGGCAAAAACACAGGACTGCCCTAGGACAGAAACAGGCTAATTCTGTACTAAAAAAAAGTCAGGCAATGCCAAGCTAAATTAGATCTAATTAAGTTCTGAGAGAAGTGCTAAACTTAAAGGACTAAAACATGTCATCTTATCCAATTTAACTCTTAAGGGAAACTGCTCTGTTCTTTGGAAACATATTATTTTGAAGCAACACTCCTCTGTTGCTGCAGTTCTTTTCTGTTCACAGCTAGAAAGGAATCTGAAGCAGTGGTTGAATGCACTGGGTCTCATGAAATAACGCGGATGATAAACAAGTAAGCAATACTCTAGCGATCCAGACTAGAAGTCCCCCAAGATCGAAGCACAGCTCTAAGTCCGTGACTTTATAGCAGAATCCACTGAGACTGGGGGAGAGTCAGAGGTATAGCTTACGTGAGAATCATGAAAGGATAATGAACGTGAAACACCTAACTGTTATGGGTACAGAGAGCAAAAGAAGCAAAAGCTTTCTTCCCCACCCCCTCCTCAGATACTTCAGCAAACCCAGCAAGCTAGGTATCTACATCCAGTTGCATAAAATAAAACCTTAAGAGTTTAGTGTGGATGCAGGGAGGTAGGGGGGAGGTGGGGAAATCAGGCCTTAACAGTCTCTGGAGATTACTGGTACAAGTTACCTAGAACACAGTGCTAATGACAATCTGAACAACATCCAAGTAATTATTAAGGAGGGAGACACTTGCAGAGAAATATTGTACAAAGAAGATGCTCTAGACTTCTCTGTAAAAGTCAAAGCGTGTAAGCAAATAAGCAAGGAATGTCTTCCTGATTAAAAAAAAAATTCCTAAATTTGTTTTTTCTGGACTTGCCTCGACCAAGCTGGGGGACTGGGGGAGTTCTAAGAGCAGCAGAACTAACAAAGTCAGATCACGTACAGATTTGTAGGAACCATACAACCATGTATCACGCCATCGCAATAATCATAGCTGTTTGCGGTGTCTCAGAATATCCACACTGACCAGGAGGCAGCATATGTTTGCTGGCTGCCAGCCTGACAACACAGTATATATAAGGTTGACTTCTACCCACTTTTCTCTCAAGTTGTACATTTCTTTCTCCTCCTAGTCACAGAGATGTTCAAAATTTTTGGGAAGGGAAAAGGAAGAGAGAGTATATAACCTCCATTCCCTTGGGAAATCAGGCTAGAAACAGTACACATCTTTGCGACAATGAACTGGAATTACTTTTCTAACCAAACAGTCATACACTATTCAGTGGTGTCTTTTATTCTACAATTGCTCAGTATTGCTCTTCCTTTGCACTATTAGTCTAGAATGTCTTTAGTCTGTTAGATGGGTGGAAAGTTCTCTACACTTGCCCAGAAAGCTTCAAGAACAAAGAACAAATGAACAACAAAACCCCCTACCCAGAAAACCCCCACCATACTGGCTTGACAGATTGTACTTTTCAAAAGTTAAATTTAAAAGGTTAAGTACTTTTTGTTATACTCAAGAGAATATAGATACCCTTCTTACCCAGAAAAGCAGAGTCACTGTATCTTGTCCTGAGAAAGTACCTCAACATGAACTTGCTAGGTTCCTTCTCTGAGTTGTAGACATGATTACTACAAAGAGAAAAACGGTATTTTTGTTAGTTGTTGTAAATATCTAAATTAAAAGATATTCTAATTAGTCACTAGTATCAAACGGATATTTTACTAATTATATCTTAAATGTGTGCATGGAACTGCCTGCTCATTATATATTTTTAATACATATTAACATAAAGAGCTTCACAGAACTTTCTTTTTCATCCATTAACAGCATTCATCAAATAGAGTCCAGGGGAGGACCCTCAAATGAAGCTTTTGAGAACCAAGAGCGAAGCCTCAGCATCTGGATCATTGAAGTGCCAGGCACAATAGGCATACTCAGGCCTGTAAAAATGGTTTCCCCACGTTTTGGTCTCAAGTCCAAAGCAGTGGTTCCCAATTTGTGGTTGGCAGTACTGTCAGATCACCTCATACTGCCTCTCCTCCCTGTTTCCAGCTGCTACATCACATCAAAAGGCAGCTAAAAATACACGCTTTTCTAATATTACTCTTCCAGGTAAGCAACTGCTGTACTTGCCACAAGGATGTTATATGATTGTGAAGCAGGAGGAATACGAAACATGATTCTAAAAATGGGAAAGTAAGTGGAATACAAGACAGGTTCTTTATTAAAAGAGTAGGTCAGCACTTCCCTAAAATAATCATCATTGTTTTTCAGAAATCCAAGAGGAGCTGAAGGATTTAGAATGCTCACACCACTGTCAGAAATCTAACAGTAACAGGACAGAGGAGAATAATTTGCTTCTCCACACTAGAACCAAGCCCAGGACAGCAGTAAGAGTTAACAGAAAACATTGGGAACTTGCAGAACAGGAAGAAAAATATTCAAATATGATGCACATTTACTGGAATAAAAAACTATGGGGTTGAACAATCACTAGGTGAATATTAAAAGTTAATATTCCTAGGCAGAAACTCCAGAGTAATGTCAGAGTAAGTACTAAACATTATTAGTTTCCATTCACCTCTGGAAGCACTAAAATTGCTGAAACACTTTTAAAGTTAGGCTGTACTACTACTATTGAAAGGTTCCATAAAAGAAAGCTTTCCAGAGAGCAACAGAGTTACAAGTACAAAATCTTAATACAAAATGAAGATTAAAGCAGAAGTAAAGTTCTTTTGCGACTTTAACGTTTACACCCATTTCGTTTTTCCCCATTATGTTCCTAGCAAGTCTACAAACATGAGGCAGTAAAACCTACTGTAATTGGTTCAGAGCAAGGCCTTAACAGAGCAAACGAAAGGTGAAGTTGCTAGAATAAGGGCTATACAATTTTCAATAAAGCCTTACTTAAAACATTAGGTCATTCAGGCCTCTGAAGACACACCTGCATTCCAAATAAAACCAGTAATGCTGTTTTACTGGGCACAGGTGGCAAAGGGGCTGCATGCTAACCATTATAACTCATTAAAAATACAAAAAGGACACGGAAGCTTATCTTGAAATTTCATGCGTAACGGTACTTAACTTTATACATCACTATTATTCCTCAGTTCTGCTCAGAAACATGAATAGTCAATGTACCACCTATCACATCACCACTGCTAGCCAGCTGACACAGCCTGTTGGACAAGCTGCCCGGTGGCTCCAGCAGGGAGCGGTTGCTTTGGGAACCATCCTTCACTCATGGAAAACAGTTTCTTGAATTTGGGTGACTGTCTCAGTTAAACCTCTCAACCTTTTGTCAGAATAAAACTTGACTCATTGGTAAAGTATTTAATATTCAATCTAGTAATTTTAAATTAGTTTAAATCAATGTGCAACAGATGTGTGGTTTCACAGATTTCTTGTGGCAGCACTAAGGTTGACAAAATACAAGTGACTTCTGAACCGGCCCTAAAGCCATCCCGGTTTTACAAAGGAGACTGCCAGTGGTTATTTTAGCCTAAACAGAAAATAAATTTAATTCCAACAAAATGCACAAAGTGAATTAATCAATTTGTAGATTTTTTCCTAAGAAAAAGAAAAGTTATACTAATGTTCCTAAAACAATCTCTTTTCAACTAAAAATTATTTTTATCTACTTTAAACTGGCATAAATTATCTTAAAAAAATAACTGGAAGTAAGCACTCTACAGGGATTACAGAAGCAATGAGCAGTAGTATCTTAACACTATATTTCCATTTACAGTAAGTTTAGAGACATTCAAAGCCATGAAGTTTGCATAAGTGTAGTCTTCAGGTATTCTGAGTGTACAAATGATGAAACTGCAAAGACAGCCAGGAAAACAATTTGTGTAATACGGTATTTAAATAAAGACAACAGTTACAACCTGTTTGTAATCCTGAAATACCACGTATTAATAGATTACTGTGAAAATTC